TATTCAAAACAAAGTGCATGAATCTATAATAAAACTTAAAAAAAATACAAGAAATAAAGTTATGTTTTTTTTAATAAAAATACACACATATAATCTTTTTTTTTTGTAAGTTTAGGTATAATTTAAGAATACTTTTTTATTTAAAAAATTGTAATTATCATAAATATATCATATCTGTTTAATTCATTAAATGATATAATTTAAGAATACTTTTTATTTTAATAAAATATAATTAAGTAAAAAAATAAATATTTTAAATGTAATAACTGATCAATTTATTCAAAATAAATTATTTATCATTTTCAATAATTTAAAGATTAAAAATGATGTATTATCTGTTGCTGCTACAATAATTACACTTACAACAAAAATAATAACCTTTCAATCGAAGGGACACACACCATTATCATCGAGCGTAGTGTATGTTCAGATCAATGTTCAAAGCATCTAATCTAGTATATAATATATTCATAGCAAATCACGTCATCAATAAAGTCATGAGCAATACAATACAATCATTGTTTTTTTAAAAAGTGAGTATTTATTTATTTTATACTTTATACTTTGATTTATCGGCACCAATGAACCCATTTGGGTTATGATGAGTATATGGAACTAAAATTAGCAAAAGATGGGGAGTCTTGATCAAATTCAATTCATCATACTTAAATAGGTAAACTAATTTAATAACAATAATTAAAATACTTTCATAATATGACAGAAACATGCATGCATGAACTTCTTCAAATTAAAAATTAAATAAATTCACCTTCGTGGTAAAAAAAAAAAAAAAAAAGCTACATGCATGATTCTTGGACTTCTAAAAGGCACATGCATATGTTGGGCCAATGACATTTAAATATAATAATGATATTGCAAAGTCTACAATGTGAAAGATAAAGGTATAAAAGACCCGAACATAACTGTTCAATTACGAAAACTTTGCGCTGGTTAAAAAAAAAAAATTATGAAAACATTGCACCTTTGTTCTTCAGATTTTTGAGATATGGTTTTAATTTTTTTTTATACACTTACTTCCATTTAAAAATATAATATATTTTTAATATTTTAAAATATTATTATTATTATTTTTTAAATATTTTTATTAATAATAAATTTATATTTATTATAAGGTGTTTAATAAAAATAAAAATAAAAAATAAAATTAATTTAACAATAAATAATTATTTTATTAAAAGATAAAATTTAATTAAAAATATTTTATATTTTTAAATGAGAGGGATAAATTTTTAAAGAATGATAACATTGAAATGAGGCAACTGACAAAAGAGTACCGCCAAACGGATAAAGTTGATGGGGACTTATGAACTTTTTTTTTTTGAACAAAATTGTATATTTCACCTTTATACAAAAATAATAAAAAGCATAGTTGTTAGAATTTAAATTAAAATGAAATTGTTAATAATACCAGATAAGAAGTTACTCACTTTAGTCATTTCTACAAGTCACTTTTAATTGAAATTATTTTAAAAATAAATTAATTTTTAATTTTGTCCATAAATTTAATAAAAAGGTAATTTAACATGTGGGAAGAATTTTTAAAAAAATTAAAATATTGTACATCTTTTTAGAATTTAAAACTATTTTTAAAATTATGCATCAAAAGTTAAAAATGATCTATATAAAAAACTAAGAAAAACTTCTAGAACAGGAGGAGTAAAGGCAATGAGAGAAAAATGAAATTTCCATCTACAAGTTAGATCTTGTCAATTTTAATATTATAGCATGAAGTTATCGTCAAATTTTATTTATGCAGTATTGACAAAAAAGAAAAGACACAGGCAATAATGGGTACAATAATATTAGCCAAAAAAGAATCGAAATTGTGATGCCTAATGATAAGACTAACGTACCGCAGGGAAGGACACATCATAATTCAATTTTTTTTTCTTTTTTTTTTTTACAGATTACCAGATCACAAAATAGAGTTTTTTTGTTCTGGTAACAAAAATTACAATACTATCGCAGACATTATATTTATATTTCTTTTGTACATTATACTTATAATAGTAATTAAAAAATTGAAACGAACAATCAGACCATTTTAAATTTTGACTCGGTCAGTATGTAAAATTTTTTTTTTGGAGCTAAGCGAGGTTGGATCATTTTGGAACGACGGATGGACCAGAACCGAATTCGATTTTTAAAAATTAAACTGTTTAAAAAAAAGCTTTTTCATTTTTTATTAAATTTTTTGGTCATTTAATATTATGTTCTATCATGTGACTAGTCAAGTTATAATAAACTTAAAATATTTAATTTTATTTTTAAGTTGAGCAATAATTTATATTTATTTTATATATTTAGATTATTATATATATGTATAATTTTAAAATTTAATTATTACGTCATCAGTTTAATCATTAGTTCAACCCGGCTAAACTATATGAATCATGAACCACTAATTTTTTTAATTAATATCCAGTTTGATTCTAAAAATGTATGCGTGCAACTTTGTATCAATTTTCCCGCGATAAATATACTTGGCTTCTATTTTTTTTTCCCTGATAATTCAATTCTCTCCTTTGTTAGTTTTTTGTTGTTGTTGTAGTAATATTATTGAAAGCGAGAGCGCGACACTGAGAAACAAGAACAAAAATTCTTTCAGCCCATGCTCCGGATTATAGTATATCTGGGAAACAATTAGTAAATAATTTGATATTTTATACAAAGTATTATCCGTGTTTTTGGATGGGCATTATAGATTTTCTACTCACACGCGTTAAGGAAAAATAATGATCCAAACACCATGTAGCAAGAAAGAAATGATTATAGCTGGAAATATAAGTGGACTTAATTTTTATGGGCTTGACCTTTAAACCTTAACAACCTGACTCTTATAAGCTTGACTCTTAAAAGCCTAAACTTTTGAGTCAGATTTTTCATTTTTAATATCTTTTTTGAGGCCCAGCCCTTATGTAAAGTATATATAATCAGGTCCAGAAATCCTGTTTTAAAAAATTAAAATAAAATTAAACATTATAAATTAATTAAAATAGTTTGAAATTAAAAAAAATAAAATCCTCACAATATTTAAAAAAATTAAATAACATATTTAGAAATTTAAACAATACGCATTTATCAATCAAAACCCAAATCATCCTCATCTTCATCATTTATAAATAAAACATTAAATCCCTCAAATGTAAGTGCACTTATTGAAGATGAAGGTGGTGATTCAATGTCAATTACCTTTATAACTCCTTCTTCATCACCTACAATAAATATTAATCAAATTGTATCATTATCAATTAATTAAAATATATATATATATGTGTGTGTGTGTGTGTGTGTGTGTGTGTGTGTATGTATGTATGTATATGTATGTGTGTGTATACAAGATAACTAAGTTTATCAGGGCTTGAAGGCCCACCTGAGCTCAGATCTTTTTTCACAAAATTTATCAGGACTAAGCCCTTAAGCTCAGTTCTTCTAAAAAAATAATTTTTAAAGCCCGAACTCTTATTTAAACATGGCCTTCAAATATAACCCTCCAAACTCGGCCCTTATTCTCAACTTTATAAATGATGTTTATTCACATTTAAAAAAAAAAACAAGAAAAGATGCTTCATTTCTTAATTCGTGCCCAATCGCTTATTTCAATATGTTATACTCCCTCAATTCAACGTTATACTCCCTCAATTCAAAAACATACTCCCTTTATTTTTATTTGTCAAAAAAAAAGTCATTTCACACACTTTAAAAAAAATTGATTAACTATATTAATCGTGTCTGCAAATAAAAGAATTGAATTATAATAGTATTTATTAATTTTTATTCAAGCTTTCATTTATTATTTTTTATGATTATGAATGATAAAATTACAAGAAGTAATTTAAAAAAATTACAATAAATGGTTATTAAAAAATGTAATTTTGCTTATATAAAAAAACTAAAAGTAATATTTTTTTTATAAATAAAAATAAAGAAAGTATGATATTTTTAATTAAATATCACTATTTAATAAAGTAATTATTTTTTTAAATAATTTTTTTATATTTACTTTTATTAAATAAAATGTTTTATTTTAAAATAAATATAAATAATTTATTTATAGGGGTAATTAAAAAATAATAATAATTATATTTTAAAACGTTAACATTTAATCTCCATTAATGGAGAGAGTAGTGGAGTACAAATGGATGAAAAATTTATTAGTAAACAAATGGTACTACAAATGTCAATATCAATATTCAAGTAAAATTTATCATAAATTTTAAATGAAAATATTGCAAATCATTTTTGGAATACGTGAAGGACGATTGATACATACTTTCATTGTATTTTATTTTTAGTTTTCTAAGTTTTATTTCTTTGTCTGGATTCATTTAGTTTGATTCATCTACAATATTTTTGTCTTATAATGAGATTTATGTATTTAATTTTATATATTTAATATTTTATATTTAATTAAATTATGATAAGTGAATATTCATAAGGTAACTAAATTAATAATATAAATTTATTATAAAATAAATAATTTATAAAAGATATATATGTCGTGATTTAATTAAAAATGAGTGCATTAAGTATGTAAGCTTAATTATATAAGTTTTTTACTTGAATTCATATTATCAATTTTTATAATACATGGAGTCATGGACAAAATTAATTTCATTTGTGCCAAGTCTTAGTCTTTTTGTATAATTTTAAAAGAAAAAAAAATAAATTCCTCTAAAATATATAAATTATAATTTATCCCTCAAAATGTCATAATTTTTTTAAGTCTTTAAAACTTTTTTTATTATTAATGAATTTATATAAAAAATAAATTGATATCATTAAAAATAAATGATTTATAACTTTTTTTATATTCATAATAATAGAACAGTAAATAAAAAATTTAATATGTAAAGTTATAATTCGCTATTATATTATTGTGAATATAAAAAAAATTAATTAGATATCCTTAAAAAAAGGTAAGGGGAAGCAATTTTTTTTCACATCTTAGGTTAAACTAAACATAATATGAAAGATAAATGAGAAAGCAGGTAGGGTAAAGAATGAAATCTCAATCATTGAAAAATAAAAAAATTAAGTACATATTTCGTGAAATTAACTCTATTAATACCAAATCATGACACTTTTATCTATTTTTAAAATTATAAAAGTTAAAATTATACTTATAAATTAAATTAAAAAGATTGAAAATAAAAAATAAAATTGGAGAGAGTAGAATGAAAATGTAATTAAATTTTTATTTTAATTTTAGTGAATAAAGAGACATAAAAGTCGTTGGGGAAAGCTGGAAGGGGTGGATTGCAGCGTCAGCACGTGCCTATCATCTGCTTCGCCCAACAGACACGTCCGTCCCTACAGCTCCACCAAATACAATAATAGCTGCACCAACTCGTCTCGTCTCGTCTCGTCTCTTCCAAACCCAACACAGGCAGCTCCACCTCCACCACCACCAGCCATGGCTTCTTCTCACTTCCTCACTCTCCGATCCTCCATCGCCAAACCCACCACCAGGTCCTTCCTCTTCAACCCCATCAAGGTCTCACCTTTTTTCTCTTTCTGCTTCAGTCATTCACTGCTCCTTTTATTTTGCCTTTCTGAATCTCTCTTCTTTCTTTCTGTCTTCTTCTTGGCTTGTGAATTCTGCAATACGCACTTGCTGAGAAATAATTGTTTGGGGAGACCCATTGTGGGGTTCTCGCTGATTAGCTATTTTTCAGTGTCTCCTGATGATTCCCACTTTTTGTTAACTTCTTGTTTTGTGAATAATCTTCTTCTGTTACTTTCACCTGAGCGGCAAATTTTTATTAGGGAAACCCAATTGTGGGGTTCTGGTAGTTTTTTTTTTTTTTCAAATAACTTGGGCCAAAGTTCTGTTTGGTATGACTTGTACTGTTGTTGTCGGTTGATTCTTAGCTGTGTTTCACTACCAAGGTTTTGTGAATTGAGGACTTTTTTTTTTTTTTAACTGCACAGTCCTGTGTTTGAAACTGAAAATTAACAGTGATTGAGAGTGGAAAATTAAAGGGAATCAAGTACACGCCAGAACCACAAGGCAAGAGAACTTTTGTGATCCTTAAGCTTCAATGTCATATATGCTCAATTGGGTCTGCGAATTTTCTTTTCTGTTAGGGTAATCCAAGCATCAAAACTAAGAAATCAAGAAGACCCCGCAAAATACAGCGTTGAGTTTGGACTCTGATATTAGATAGAGTGTCAGAACCAATTAAGAACATTGTTTGGAATGCTCATGATTCATTAAGTAAAGTAACTTTCTTTGTTCGGTATGCAATGAATGGACCTGTTTGTTTGGTATCAGAACTTTGGGCAATCAAGCAAAGGAAACCATCGTGTGGAAGAGAGGGCACCATCAACAGCTGAGGAATTCGAGAGAGTTGCAGAGGAGAAAGCAAGGGAAGCGAAACAAGGTGTTGCAAGCCAAACTACAGATGAGGCATTTGATGCAGCAGGGGAGGCTGCTTCCTCCAACGTTGGATCAGCGAAGAAGGGGTACAAGGAACATGAACCTGGGACAGATTACCGCGGGACTGGAAATTAGGAAGCTGTTTGTGAAGCAGCAACAATAAGAAATAAGAGCCAGTTTTCTCTTTAGCATTTTTCTTGGAATCAAAACCCTTTTTATTACTCTTCAGTCTTCATACTTTCAGTTCATTTTCATATTAGAATCATTCTTAATCCAGTGTTGTACTGTTTTTCATGCTAATTGGTTGAGTTTATTGATCATGAGCCCAGTATAAAAAGTTACTAATAAGAAGAAGATTTAGGGGACTAAAGTTTCTTAAGAAGAATTTTGGTAGGTGAGAAGAGTCCTATAACCTTTCTCAGGCACAATCACATAATGTTTTGGACACAGTTCATAGTAATCTACGTTCAAGTTGGAGTTGGAATATTCTAATATCGGTCATGGTGTTTTGTGGAGGAGCTTTTATCACATAAATTATAGGTTCCTCGTATGTACATGTTTAAATATAAGGTTTTTTAAAAAAAAAATTCTCTGTTTCAAACATACAAAGCATTTTGATTAATGGTAGTGTTGAGGTTTTTCGTTCAAAAATGTATAAGGGTGTTTTACAAATTTATTTGTTTTTAATTATTTGTACTCCTATTAGAATATGATTTCATGTGAAAAAATATTATTTATTATTAAAAATTTATAAAATATTTTAATTATTGGAACATTAAATCAAAAAAATTATTGGAACATGAGATTTTTTGAAAAAAAAAATCTTATATTTCAAAGCGAGAGAGCATTAATTTTTAAAATTTGTTAGTGAAATGGGGAGTTGAAAGGTGAAACGGAATGATAGACATTGGGTCCATTAAAGTTGTTCTTATCCATTATCCAACCAACTTCACGAGGGCGTGGGGCAAAAGACGGATGCAGGCCTTCGAATTTGACTGCCTAGATTCTGTTAAAATAGCGTTTGATTCCCGTCTTCTTAGTATCGATTAATTTTAATCAATTTGATTGTTTTGGGTGAATCAGTTAAATGTGACTTGTAAATAAAAAAGGAGGAAAAATAATGAGATTATAAATTGATATCACATAAATGATTGGGGTATTATTTTTCATAATTGTTTTCATTTCTCTCGGCATTTTTGCAACGAAACACATCCTTATTAAGAAATTGAAATGTATTGAGGATAAGATGCTCGAGAGGAAGTTTGAAAAATGCAGCAACATGTTATCCAGTGTCTTTTGCTTTTTAGTTTAAATGTTATCCTCGCGGCTTATGAGATAACGAAGGAAGAAGGTCAGTGTCTGTCAATTCGGACGGATTAATTTAATTGGGAAAATGAAAGCGACCACGAAGATGTAAGCCCCGTTTTGTTAGTCCACTTGGAACCATGTGAATGACTGTGTTTGATCGGCCATGTTATTATTGGGCCAGATATCGTTGGGCTCCACACTCGTCTCGGCCCATCACCCATACGGGTGATCAACTTCTCTGGCTCCAAGGACGTCGTCGTTTCCGACGCTGCATCTCTGCAGATTGGGCCCGGGGACTTTCCTGAATCCGACTTAGAGTCGATAACCCACTCACATCACTTCGTGGCCTTAAGCTGCCGTACTGTACCGCCTGTGTATAAAGCATTTTAAGACCGCTCTCATGAGAGATGTGGGACATAAAATTATCAGTTCAAGTTTCTTTCCCTTTTTTTCCCTTGATTCAATGAAAATTTAGATGAATTAGATCTTAAAAGCTTATTACAAATCATCCATGAATAAAATTTTGAAATCAAAAGTTGGATTCAAAATTTGATCTCACACACATTTTTGGGAATTATAAATCAATGTACAGTAAATCATCCATCATGCACGGGGTTTGAATCTTGCTGGAAATCAAATCTTTACCAATCAACCAATCTTTGTCAATACTTCATTTTCTTTTCTTTTCTTTTCCTCTTTTTTGGTTACAGGCTGGGAGTGCCATTATTAGCCATACAATACATAATCGAGTTTCGTATGATAGCAAAGGAACATAATTTTCATTTGTGATTATTAAAATATAATCTGAAAACATAAATTTTCCCAGGTCATTTTGATCTCGTGAAAATATATAGTAACCCTGTCACGTTTGGAGGAAATGTTCGCGCTGAAAATACACACGCGCAGTGAAAGTAGTTGTCATGAGCAGTCCAATTAAATATGCAATTTGAGTTCGGTAAAAATAGCACTCCCAGAATTTCATTCATTAAAAAGGCCTCGTCGTCATGAGTGTGCAGAATCATCAGTACGAAATAGCCATTAAAGTTTCATGCTTTTCTTGCCGTCTTTCATATCTGCTTCAATTCTCCACAAGTCCGTTTCTTCCGCACCCTCCTATTTGTTTCAACTCATTCTCACACTGAAGCTTCATTTTATCTCGAGCAGTACTAAATTGAATTTGTTTTAACTTTTAACCAACCATGGTCGAACAAATTCACAAGTCACAAGAATTTCATATCTAGGTCAACAATTCAAATTTTGGTGACAGGAAAAATTATGCTCATGTCAAAAGTATTCATTTTTCTATATATGTGTGTGTGTGAATGAATCATATTCAATCATTACCAGATCTAATTGAAGGCAGCTTTTTTAAAAATATTTTTTATATTCACACATATTTAATTGAACTCAAAATCTCATACTTAAATGGTCATAGTCCCAATAATTATATTCAGACTTATTAACAATTGAATATGAATCAATCAATAATACCAAATATTAGATAATTATATTTTTTTTAAAAAAATAAAACTAAACGTGTTTTGTGTATATTTGTTCCCGCACATCCATGAGGGAAAATTTTTTCCTTACCTTAATATTTGGTTTGAGTGTAGATTAGTACAATCTATCATCCAATCTGGTTTAATGGATTCGTTTGGTTTTGTTACTTTTAACATTTGAAAAATACTTTTTTACTTTTCAAAAATCAAATATTGTTTGATTTTTAATCTTTTTTCAAAAAATTTCATTTAAAAAGTCAGTTTTGAATATTGTTGTCTGTGCTTTTGGCCAACTTAAAATAATAAAACTTTTGAAAAGTAAATTTAAAAAATAAAATGTTATTTGATCATACTATCCGAAATTTAATTTTTTTTATTTAAAAAATAGTTAATCCATTAAAAATAAAAATTATCATTTCAATAATAATAATTTGGTATTGAGTTTTTAGTATTATAAATTGAATAATTAATCATGTTAATTTTTAGCGTTAAAGTATAATACAAATTATAAATCTTTATCACATTTTTTTAAAATTACAAATTAAAAAAGTACAAATGACTAGAGATCAAGTTTTAGCATTACAAATTAAATATTATGTTATTTAAAATCTTTATCATATTTTTAAATATTTTAAATATATTACATTTATATAATAAAAATTACAAATTATCATAAATTAATGTCATTTTTGATAATTGTACATTTAAAAATAAATTTTACAATCATAATTTAAATAACTTTCAATGTATGAAATTGACTTTTAAAAAAATGTATCCAAACACAAATTTCATTACAACAATTAATTTTCATTAAACTAACTTTAACTAAATGAACTTTTATCAAATGAATTTTTAATAAACTAAAAACCAAACATACACTTAACATATCACCCTCTGTAATTTGTATGTACAAATAAAGGATAATCCAAAAAAATATCATATAAATGTTAGACAATATTTTCTTTCCGTTTACTTTTGGCTATTTCCGAGCTCTTTACAGAACACACTTTTCTAAACCATGCCTCTGAAAATTAAGCCACTTTTACTATTCAATGCTTTAACTGTTTTCCAAGTAATATTGGTATTTGCAATATTTGCACCAATGTATTCTAATGTCATCCCCCAATGCCATAATCTTAGCATAATTGACCCCAATTAATTATCACTAATCAAAGCCAAATAACCTCCTTCTTCATCCTTAAAAGCATCCTCTTCTTGGACTCTATTCAATCTAGCAAAAACCCCTACTAATGCGGCTGTATTGTAAGTACATGCTTCTGTCTGCACGTAATTCCCCCTCTCGTCTCTAAACCCGTCCGTACTGTTGGGCCCACCGACTAGGGCCCCAGTCAGTACATTGGGGTTAGGATCATGGCGTCCATACCAGTTATCGTACCCCTGCGTGCACCCAATAAAACCCATGTTTTCTTTGTATGATTCCATGGACGCGCCCCTATGGTGCACCCTCATAGGAAAGTGGGGCCCATATCCTACCAAGTAGCTTCTCTCGGTTGGATTAGAGCCCAGGATGTAGTCCACCTGTGATTTCGCGAAGGCTAGGATCTCCTGCGGAGAGACATCTCCTTTGTCGCAGTGGAGCCTCTGGCCGGCGGCTCGGAGATGATCAGAGTATACAGTGAGGAGCAACGACGCCGTTGAGACGTATTGCATGTTGTTCCACTGGCGGACGTACAGTAAGCCTCCTGGGGTGCGATGCACGTTAGTGGAGTTGTTTTGGCCGAGGCACGCGCAGAGATAGTGCTCTGCTTTTGAACGGTATTGTTGGAGAATGACTCGGCTTTGACCCTTGTGCTTTTCTCCTTCCATGAGGAGCTGAAAATGGAAAAAGAAAATTATGACTTTGCCTACGTATTTTAGAAAATAATAGCAACATTAAATGGGAGTTTAATAATGATTTCTAAATGTCATGTGTCGGTTTGAGAATAAACCCATGTATGAATGAAGTCTAATGGTAGTTGATGAATTTTCCGTTCAATTTTAACAGCTTCTATGACTGAGACATGTTCTTGAAGATTTAGAATTGTACAAGGTTGGAAATTAGGAATCTAAATGATGTTAAGGCTTATGAAATTATGAAAAATATAATATTAGCTATAAGTTTTTGTATTGTTAATAAAACATTTATGATTAATTACATTATTTATAAATTATGAATAATATTTTATTCGTTAAACTTTATGCAATTCAAAAAAAAATTCTCCAACTGTCACAGTTTATAAGATATATATGTTTTTAAAAGATTTGTCATCTTAAAATATAAGATAATTTAATAAAATTAAAATAAGATTTAAATGATACTTTCATTATCTTTTCTTTCTTAATATTATTCGATAAATGAAGTATTGAAAGAATAATATTTTGAAATTTTATATTTTTAAAAAAATTATGAAATATATTTTAATGAGATTGATTAGTATGTATAATTTTATGTAAAAAATATTTTATAATTTATAAATTAAGATAAAGAGATTACTTATTTATTAAAAAAAAGT